AGGGCCTACTCGTTGCGCGGCCGCAGAGATCGGTGGCGGCCCATGCACACGATGCTAGATGGAGATTCATCGAGCACATCAGGGTGAAAACCTTTGCTCTTGGCTAGTTGCCAAGGCTGACGATGACAACGCTCTTCTGTGTCCTCCCCTTCTTGAAGGCATCGCCGTGGAGAAGCTCTAGACCTGTATCACCGATCGGATGATGGTTGCGTTCTTGTTTCGTCCCCCCCTTGGGGGTGTCTTTTTTGGAGGTGTGCATTGGCTCGAGGGACCAGTGGACTGCTTTAGCGGCTGAACGGCGTTTCATGTGACGTATCGACGACGTAGAGTCTCGGCGGCGTGCTGCTGCAGGGTCTCGGCGATGGATGCATGATAATTGGATGCGCATAGGGAGGTGGTGTTGTCTGGTGTTGTAATGGTATCGACAACAGGCTTGGCAAGATAGATGCGTCGGTACATGTTCTAAAGATGGATCGATGGAAGATGGTGACGGCGGCCTCTACAGTGTGCGCATGCGGTGCCCACTGAGAGTGCGTTGGTCCGGTGTGTGCCCTGGACCCAACGATTGCGGCTTGGTCCAGGTCTTCGGTTTTAGATGTTGGGCATTGGTATGGGGTCCTGGAAGGCAGCCCCGACATTACACACCCCTTCATCAAGTTGATAGGATTAGCGACAGATGTTGTCAAGATGGTGGCTTCAAAATTATTGAATTATTACTTTGTAAGCTTTTGATGAATAAGTAATAATGGTTGCATGCATCGCCCTCATGCACAGATCGGGGTCATCCTTCTTTTTAGAAAAAAAAAACCCTACGGAGACTGTTGGATATATTATTTCGAACTGAAAGCACTTGATCATATGCAATGAACATCATTCAAACAAATGATGAATACATTTCAACACAGTATGAACTTTTTTGGATCATTTGTCAAATACACAATGCGTTTTTCTCAAGTCTACTATGAACAATTTATACCTGTGATGAACAGTTTTCTATGCAGGGTGAACATTTTCAAATACATTCCTTAAAATGAATTCACATTTTAATTCTTAAACCTGTTTTAACAAATATTATTTCAGGATTTTTAAATAAAGTAATAATAAAAGAGAAAAGGATTTTAACTCTTTTTTTTTTGAGACAAAAACATCTTAACTTATTGAGCCGCGTTGTGAGAGGCCCATATAGAAATAGCATGGGCCGATCAGTCTGCAACCCATCGGCGCCACTCCGATACAAAACAGTAATCCGTGCTTCCCTCGAAAACAGAAAAAACCAATCCCTGCAGTCCTCCTGCCCCGACACGGTTTGGCAGGATTAATACCAATGCAACCGCGGGTGTGTCCAGACATCAATCGGTCGATCTGGGGAGCAACGGCGAGCTTGATGGCGTCGCTTGACATGGACGTCGGCGAGGACTACCTGCATCTGCCGCGAGACGACGACCACGACGAGTACACGACCGAAGCGCTCTCCTCCTTCGAGGCGCTGCTGTCCCTACCCTCGCGGCCGCCGGGCGCTGCGGCCTACGCGGCCGGCATCATCCCACGTGTCGCCGTAGCGGGGGCTCCATGCTTCACGGAGTTGTCGGCGGCAGTGGCACAGGCGTTGACGACGGTGGACCCGTCATCCGGCGGCCGCGGCTGCCCGATCTGCATGGACGATGGCCAAGTGGTGTGGAAGGAGACGCCGTGCGGGCCAAGACCAAGGGGAGATGCCCCATGTGCCGACGCCAGGTGGTGACGATGCCGACGACGCGGACTGGTTCATGGAGGATTCTCCGGAGTGGCAGGCGCTTGCCCTCTTCCTGATGTTCAGCTCTAGCCTCGGGCAAAGATGGCAATTTACAATGAACTTACGCCGGGGCTGAGAAAATCATTGCCTCCGGAATACTGGATGCATTTCATCGGATACGGTTTCCTCTTGAAAAGCACCTGAGATGTCCTACAAAATTATATATTTGCAAATTCGTTCTATTTTGGAGACACAACTCAGGCAGAGGGAGAAGCAACTGAATCTGTTTAACTGTTTATGTCTGCAACAGTGTTGCTTTGTATCAGATTCAGTAGCAAATATGGATTGCAATCTTTCATGAACTTGTAAGGATCACAACGTGTAGTGTGTCTAGTATTTTGCTTGTTTTCTGTACTTGCTGCGAATACACGCAAATAGTATGTGATCAGATTATGTCAGTAACCCAGAATGCATATAATCAAACACTCGGTGAAAGTTTGAAGGCCTGAACTTCGACTACAGGATATGTTTTATTTAGATGTCGTCAGAAAGCACTGGACAAGCCATCAAGCAGGCTGGGCGAGGAGTTATACTTTGACGGGGAAACATCATGCTGAAGATGGTAGGGAGCAGGCACCAATCGTGTCATATCATCCCATCTCTAATGTTACTAGCTAGTCGCCGGAATCACCAACAGCATAAAAGCTTGATGTTGCCAGGAGCAAAGGAGGAGTGAGGACTTACAAGAATATTTCATTTTGATGAATTGAGAGAAATATTGGCATCATAATAAGACTTAAAACCAAAGGAAAGAAAAAGCAAGCCCAATAAAATAAAAAGGATATGCCATCCATGGACACTTGATGAAGCTCCAGCTGTCCTGCAACGATAACGACCAACACCAAGGAGTGTTATTCACGCCATGAATGGACGCCTCGATGCCGAGAGCCGAGAGATTGCAGCAACAGCCGCCACTTGCTTGGCGGCCTTCCATTAGGCAGCAATCAGGTGAGTCAACAGGTGGCATCGACCTAGCCAACATGAAAATTGACCAGAAGCTCCACCACAAGGATGATCCTCAAACATATTCTTGTTGAGTTCTCCACCTACACCGTCGGAGAGTGCCACTGAATGGAATAAGCTTCGAGAACAAGAAGTTGGAATGATACTAAATGCTTCAATCAACATCAGATGTAGCCGAAGGTGATCGATCAATAGAGACATGTAGTCGAAGGCACCACACAACCACCATGATGGGGGGGGGGGGTGGAAGGGTGTGGATGCAGCTCTGTGACTACGTAAGGAACCACTGCCAGAATCCCCTTGCAAACACAAAGAGGTCCAGAGCGCGAAACGACGGTGCAAACCAAGATTATACCACAAGTCGAAGGTGACACATCCATCAAGATAGTGGTGTCAAAGAAACCGACTTTGCCTGATCTGGATGATAGATACCGGGGTTTCACCAGGAAACCATCCAATCTGAGAGTAAGAGTGTAGGTAGACCTCCATAGCTAGGCCTCCAAGGAGGTTTACGGTGCCCGAAACGCTATTGTGATCAGCCCAAGCACAATCTCGGGGAATGTTTTCTTAGGGAGGAACACAAATCTAGAATGCCACCGTACTGGAACCAACACATCACTAGGACGCTCACTTGCTAATCCCAACACCTCCATCTAGCCCAAGCTACCACATGCATGCTTCTCAAGCAAAGCACCCAACACATCTACACATTGTCCACAATGAAGTCGGCTCCACGATCAGTACTAGTGGGTGAGGATACGCAAAGGGCGACACCACCAACAAGGTGGTGGGAATGGAGGGAAAACTACTAGTACCCACTAGCAGAGAGACTGCAGGGGATGGGTCACCATTACTACAAGGGTGGTCAGATCTGAAGTTAGCGGCTAAACATTTACCGCCGATGCCCAAAGCAGCATGTTAGAGTTCCGGTCTATGATACACTCAAACGCACCAGATGCAAGGCAATTGGTAGTTTGATTACAAGCACCGGTGAGCTAAAGGGGGGGAATCAGAGAAGGAAGAAGATGAGAGACAAGGTGGAAGAGAAGAGCCGGCTGCCATTTCAGTCGCGATCGGATGCGTAGCTCTTTCACATATAGGCTCAACTTTTTCCTCAGTCGATGTGCTGGACAAAAGGGCATTCCCAAGTATGGACGTGTTACGGAAGGTTCCTAAGGCCTCCTACAGTGCTAGGTGCTTCCTCAAATAAACCTAATTCTTATAACCACTAGTTCTTCTCTCAACAAGTGGGGTACTTAATTACGTATCAACCCTCCACAAGAAGCTTCAAAGCTTACCAAAAGAACGATTTCTTTCTCTAAGCAACACACATTGTACAACGCCTAACATGACAACCCGGGAGCGGGTAGCCACATGAAATGCGAAAAGGGTATATCAGCACCACAATTGTTTCACTAGTACATAAAGGGAGAATTAATTTTTGTGTGATATACGATTGGACGTTTACAATCAGCCAGAACAAATTCCTCCCATCGAGTTCATATCCAATGCAAGAGGTTTTTTTTTTTGGGGAATCCAATGCAAGAGGTCATGCTTCCATCATGGACCCACATTTTATCAATTCATTTCATTTGCTTGGTAGCACAAACAAATCAGTATACGAAACTAAGTAGCAACCTCAACGCAGCATGGCGCGCGCAATGATCCTCCGTCGTACGCACCATGGAGCATCTCGCGCGGCTAGCAGCACGACGACCCCCGTTTGCAACAGCATTACATAGCAGCATCCCCTCAGAACCCAACATGATGCAAGGTTGTAGAACCACGAGCGCGTTGTGCTCGAACGCCGGTTTGTAGCACCACAAGCTCTGCCGATCCGGCGAGATCCATGGCCAGCCGACACCGGATCAGAGCTAGAGAGGATTCGATGGGGATTGAGAGAGGGGTGAGAGAGAGAGGGGGGAGAGATGTAGGGGAGAGTAGAACGTGGCCTGTACGGTGCAAGGCCCACCCTTGTAACCACAAGGGGGGCAAAGTCCCTGTCCCACCACCTCTTTGTTTTCGTCGTGGGTAGCCCACTCAGCTCCCACGCTCCATTATTGAGTTAGCTCGTGTCCATCAGGCAATTAGGTAGGCAACAGCGACACCAAACCAAGCCTCTGTTTTGTTATACTCCATCGGCCGATCGGCCCATTGCGAGCAGATGGAAATGGCAGCGGCGGCTGCCGGCGCCGGTGCGGGCCGGCTGGAGGTGGTGGTCTTCCCGTGGCTGGCGTTCGGGCACATGATCCCTTTTCTGGAGCTCTCCAAGCGCCTCGCCGCAAAGGGCCACGCCGTCGCCTTCGTGTCAACCCCGCGGAACCTCGCCAGGCTGCCGCCCATGCCGGCGCACCTGTCTGCCCGCATCCGCTTCGTGGCGCTGCCGCTGCCGGCTGTGGAGGGCTTGCCGGAGGGCGCCGAGGCCACGTCTGACCTGCCGCCCGACAAGGTCGAGCTGCTCAAGAAGGCCATGGACGGCCTCGCCGGCCCGCTCGCGTCGTTCCTCGCGGACGCCGTCGCCGCCGGCAGGAGGCCCGACTGGGTCATCCTCGACTTCTGCCACCACTGGGTCCCGCCCGTCGCCGACCAGCACAAGGTACCACGCTGTACGCCATCTCCACCTCCAACGCACGTATATGCTGGTCACGTTTGACAGCGGATGATGGATCGTATGTGCAGGTGCCATGCGCGGCGTTCCTGATCTTCCATGCCGCCTGCATGGCCTTTATTGGGCCGCGGTGGGCGAACGACGACGCGTACCCACGCACGAAGCCAGAGGACTTCACCGTGCCACCAAAGTGGATCCCCTTCCCGTCCACCACCGTCTTCCTCCACCCAATTTAGCTACTTTTCAGTCAGCTGAGTTTTCACTTTTGCGTCAGTCGTTTTCCTGTCCGTTGGATGGTGCTATAAGATGCGTGTTGTTTCAGTTTATTCCCGTTTTAGATTTGGGCCAAGTAGTATCGACTAGCCTTGGGTCAGTCAAATCGATTTCTGCTGGGCTCGTGCTCCTCACGGGGCGCCCGTTCTATGCGCGCCCATTAAGCAGTCGGTCCGTTTTGATGGAGCGCAGACCGTCGCTGTTCTTCTCGTCTTATCCCCTTCCTCCTTGGTTTCTGTCAGTCACTTCCCCCTCCCCCTCTCCGCCTCAGTCTCTCTAGGTCTCTGTCTTCTCCTCTTCTTCCCCAAGCTTAGGGTTCGTGGAGTTTCTTGCTAGATCTGCTCCCTCTGCGAATACTTCTTCTTATGATTTTTGTTTCTGCTAGATCTGCTCCCTCTGCGAATACTTCTTCTTTTGATTTTTGTTTCTGCTAGATCTGCTCATTTTCTCTTGTATGTGCTTACTAAGGTGCTTCTCTATGGTTCACTATGGTGTTTGCAGGATTTACCAATCGGGGGAGTTTCGTTGCTGACGGATTGCCGTTGCTCCATCTCCTCTTTTTCAGGTATTCTTCCTTATTGAATCTTATTATTGTATTGTTTCTTGTACTAGTTAGAGGAGTCCTGTTAGTTTTTTTGTTTTTTATGCTTTACTTAGGCTTTGATGTTCATATTTTAATTCAACTCGTGTGTGTTATCTGTTGCAGCGGTGAGATTTGTGTTTGAGGGTTTTGTTTTTGGTTCTAGCAATTGATTCTATTGGGTTTAGTAGCGTACAGATTTGCTTCAATATTGGTTTTGGGTAGGATTTTCTTGTTTTTTTGTGTTTGATATGCAGTGATTTTTTTTACTGTTTGGTTTTAGGGTTTGAACAGGTTGATTCAGTGAGTCTTGTATGTCTCTAAAGATTAAATCAATTTTGTGCATATTGTTATTCTGATGCAGATTCTAGGTCATCTGCTTTCTAATAAACCTTTTAGGTTTGATTCTACTTACTTTATGCCTGTTTTATGTTCGATAGTCAGTTTTTTATGTTTTATGTTATATTAAGTGTGTGCCTGTTCACTATTGAGCCCAGTTGATGTTTTTAGGTGTATTGAATTTTTGGTATATGTCCATGGTGTTGATACACTTTTGCTTTTTTGGGGTATTTGTGCAAGTTTAGTTACATAGAGATGCAATTTGTTCAGATTTAGTCAAGATTATGGAGGTTCTTTATGTAATTTATCTTCTTCTAAGTTACCCATCTAGATTAGGAATTCATTTCTTTGAGATATAATTAGATTGTAAGCTTTTATATTTTTATAGTTAATGTAGGTTGCTCAACTTGTTTTATGCCCCGTTGGGTAATTACATAAAAAAATCCTTTTTATTTACCATGTGTTTCTTTTTTATTGTGTAGGCATGGTTTGCCCTGTTTGTCGTTGCCCAGGTGCTCCTTGCGTACCATTTCTGCGAGCGGATGAAGTCCCTGAAGTTTTCGGTGTTGTCGTTGACGAGGATTGCTTCAGAATGATGGTGAGTTGTCTTTATATTTTCTTGTATTTATCTCTTCTTTTTATTTATCAGTATGTGTGTATGTGTTTACTTAGGTATTGCTTTCCTTGATTGCTGATATGAAACCTATGTACCTTTTCATGTTGTCCCTGTGTGCTATGATCAACTCATGCAAGTATCGCTGTGTGCATGTTTTCATGTCTCATACAGTGAGGTAGTCTGCATTTTAATCTTTGATTTTTTTTGTATATATCATGAAGGTTTATATGAAAGTTGCTATTGTGAACTGTGCACAAGTTTAGTATCATGAACATGCAACTTTTTAATAACAGTCTTTGAATTGTACGAATTAGGTTTTATGAACTAGGTTCCAGTTGATATTGATGATTGCATGTTAGTACAGTTGAAATTTTGCGTAGGTTGAAATACTTTGCACATATTTATCTTTGTTCTCTATTAAATAGTTATGTTGCTGTTGTAAAATGTGTGCAAGCTTAGTATCATGAACATGCAAATTTTTTATGTTATTTTTTTGAATTTTTGAATTATGTGTTTGCTGTCGTTATAGCTGTACTATTTTTTAAAATTCACTATTGATCAATTCATTCAAGATTAGTTATGGTTGTCATTACTGTGTTGTACTATGCATTTCATGTAGTTTGATTTCATTCGCTTAGATGAAAGATGCTATTTGTAAATTGTGTGCAAGTTTAGTATGATGTAGATGCAATTTTTTATTTGTAGTCTTTTTTACAGCTCTTATCAATGTACCTATATTTAACTTCAAGGCTAATTTGAATCTTTTGCTTTTGTGAATTCTGTGCAAGTTTAGTATGATGAACATGTAATTTTTTAATTGTGGTCTTTGAAATATAGAACTTGGGTTTTAGGATCTTGGTTTCAGTTTTATATTGGTGAATCCAAGCTATTATAGTTTCATTTGTGAATTGAGTTAGGTACTCTGTAATTCATGTAGGTTGAAATCCTTTTCTAGATATCTATCTATCTATCTTGCTGTTGTAAAATGCGTGCAAGTTTAGTTTGATGTTCATGCAAATTTTTAATTGTACAGTGAGGTATTGTGAAGTTCAATTGAATTAGGTATTTCCTGTACTTTTTATCCAGTTGTTATTGATCAATTTCATTCAAGTATAGTTTTGGTTGTGAATACAGTTGGGTATTCTATATTACATGTAGTTTGATTTGGTTTGCACTTATCAATCCTAAAATGAATCTTGCTATTGTAATATGCAAGTTCAGTATGTTGAAGATGCAATTTTTTATTGTAGTTATTTGAATTTGTGAAACATAATTTTCTGTACTATTTTTTACAGTTGTTATTCATCAATTCATTCTAGTAATTTTTATTGTTGTGAATGCAGTGAGGTATTGTGCATTTTCATATATGTTGATTTCTTTTGTTCATATCATTGTAAATATATTATGACCAATGCTACCATAAATCTTCCAGCTGTGTAATGCATGCAAGTTTACTATCATGAATGTGCAACTTTTTAATTGCAGTATTTGAATTTTAGGATTTAGCTTTTTAGGAACTAGAATTATATATAGTTGATATTGATGAATGCATGCTAGTATAATTATAATTGTGAATTGATTCATATATTCTGTAATTCCTTTAGCTTGAATTTGCTTTTGTACAAATAAATCTATCTGGTCCTAGTAAGTTCTAGGCCAGGGTATCATCAAGTTTAATATGATTCTAATTGTGTACTTTCGGATATCTGGGAGGTGTTCTGCATAAACTGTAGTTCAAACTGCTTCTAGTTCCTAGGTCAAAATGTAATGTTGCTTTATATGTAGCTGTGCAAATTTTCCTTTATGTCCTTGCAAGTTCAGTTTGTTTTTCAAGTACATTCCAGTAAGTTCTTTCTTCATGAAACATGATAATGCATCTGATTATTTCAGTGAACTTACTGTTGTGGTTTCATGATATTGTCAGGCCAACACATGAGATACAGCAGGATATGGACCCAATAATTAAAGGAAAAGGGGGTGTGTGGTCAGATTATCATTTACCTTGCAATTACCAGAAGCAGCTTGTTCTCCAGGTTTCTTCTTTCTCCTTTTTTGCTTTTCCTTTAGACAGATATGCGATTTGGGAATGCGATGAACACTCATCCATTTTTTATTGTTCTGGTGTTGTAGAAATAAGGGCGATCGGAGAAGAATCTGTTTCTAAGGAGGAAATTTTAGGACAAGATCTACAGAGAGGTGACACGAATGCAGCAAAAACTGAGGTCACCATCACCGTCCGTGGCTGGGAGGTAGAGGTCGGGGAAGAAAGAGGATGGAAGAAGACCTAGTGATCTCAGCGTTAGGTGGATCGCTATGTTTTGAGTGGAGTGGGTTGCTTAGCGGGTCCAGGCCGGTTTTGCGTTTGGGCTTAAAAAAGGCAGAAACAGATAACGTAATTTTCTTCAGTATGTTTGGTTGTTTGCCTGTTGGGCTCGTTTCGACTGACCTTAATTCTGGTTCAGTCAGTTTTCATCTGTTTCCTTTTGCATCATTTTGTACCAATCGACTGACCACTTTTCTGGGTCAGTCGATTGATCTGTAGCCGCTCCCTCCTCCACCACGAGGCCCGGCGGATGCTCGCGGACAACTTCGGTGAGAACGCGTCAGGCAGGTCGGACACTGACCGTTTGTGGGACGTCTTCGAGCGTTGCTGCCTCACCATCCACCGGAGCTGTCGCGAGCTGGAGCCTCGCATGTTCACCCTCCTCTCTGATCTCTTGCGGAAGCCCGCCGTCCCCGCCGGGATCCTTCTACCGGAGGCGGTTGAGGACCGTGATCAAGACCACCGGCAGAGCAGCTCAGGTGGCGTCCTGCGTTGGCTCGACGACCAGCCTCCTAAGTCTGTCCTCTACGTCGCGCTGGGAAGCGAGGCGCCACTGACGCTAGAGAACATCCATGAACTCGCGCTCGGACTGGAGCTCGCCGGCGTGCACTTCCTTTGGGCGCTACGCAAGCCGGCCGGCACCAACAACAACCAGGAGCTGTTGCCGGCCGGGTTCGAGGAGCGGACACGGGCACGAGGTGTGGTCTGCACAGGGTGGGTGCCACAGGTGAAGGTGCTCGCTCACGGCGCCACGGCCGCGTTCCTGACGCACTGTGGCTGGGGCTCCAGCATCGAAAGCTTCGCCTTCGGGCTTCCGCTGGTCATGCTCCCTTTCCTCACTGACACGCCTATGATCGCACGGGCGATGGCGAAAAGAAGGGTCGGTGTGGAGGTGGCGAGGGACGATAGCGATGGCTCGTTCGACAGGGACGGTGTCGCAGTGGCCGTGCGGCATGTCATGGTGGAGGATGAAGGTCTGGTGTTCGCAACCAACGCCAAGAAGCTGAAGGAGCTTGTTGTGGACGAGGCGCGCCAGGAGCAGTACATCCACGTGCTGGAGGAGCACCTGAGACGCTACAAAGATGACAGGGGCAGTACATCGACGAGTTGATTTCATCGCTTAATTATCTTATCATAGCATCGATGATAATTTTTTCTTTTCTTATAAAGGGCGATCGATTAAGCTGATACTCCCTCCGTTCCCAAATACTTGTCTTTCTAGGCATTTCAAATGGACTCAACATACGGATGTATGTAGACATATTTTAAAGTGTAGATTCACTCATTTTGCGTCGTATGTAGTCACTTGTTGAAATCTCTAGAAAGACAAGTATTTAGAAACGGAGGGAGTAGTTGCTAGCACAACTGAACACTCCAACAACAAGCTGTGAAGAGCTAGCTGCGGACGTCATGATTGCACACAACAAACTGAGGTCCCATATTCTGTGCGCATGCCTATGTAAAATGATGGCAGGGATGCCACATAGACAAAAAAAAATGATGTCCCAAAGCAATTAAAGAGGAGGGAGAGCATTATGATGACATCAGAAAGAAAAGGTGCTAAACACACAGACTATATAAAATGAATACCAGCCAAGACATAAAAGAGTTTAATTATTATATAATTTCATGAGGAAAGCTTAGCTACAAAATCTAAGTACCTATGCATTGAGGATACTAGTTGGTAAGATTTTTAATACATTTAATGCCCTAAGCACCGATCTATTGGAAGATGCTTGGTATGGCTAGCTAGGCAGGAGTTCTTTTGCGGTACCTGTAGGTGTATTGTCTGAAAACGCTGGAGTATGTCGGCTGGCTGTGTGCTAGCAGTTTCAGGGGGCTGTGCCAAACAGGGGCCGAGCTCTCAGTGGGGCGAGGTGGGGCGCTCGCCCTAACTTGATTTATTTCGGGTTTTTTTTGAGACATTTCGATTTTTTCTGAGGTGTACAGCTGTTCTTACAGTTACAAGCTCGTAGAAGGCATAGACAATGTTATTGGGCCATATTGGGCCACATGCAAGCCACTAAGGATGCAACGCTCAAGAGTCAGAGTTCACCTAACAAGTATTCCCTCCGTCCTTTAAAAAATGTACTTTCAACTTTGTTGGGAAGTCAAACTTTTTTTATGTTTGGTTATTTATACAATAATACACCAATATTTATGCTAACAAATTAATAGCATTGGATTCATGATAAAATATATTTTTATCATACTTCTATTTGGTTTCACAAACATTGATATATTTTTGCATAAACTCGGTCAAACTTTGAGATAGTTTGATACTCCAACAAAGTTGGAAGTGCACATTTTGAAGGACCGAGGGAGTATGTTGTTAAAAAAAGAACAGACCAGTACATGGTTCCTTTGTTTTTTTCGTCATTCACGGAACTGCAAGCCACGTACACGATCACGCGAAGTCACAAACCCTAGGGTGGGTAGCTGCCGCCGACCTGTGCACCGACGCGTGTTCCCCACGGCCAGCAGGAGAGCGCAGGGACGACTTTGCGATGGCCAGCAGGTAGCGCGTGAGGTCGGCGACCAGTAGTATAGTCATCAGCGAGCACTGTCGGCAAGTGCATGTCAGGGAGCTCCTCTTGGCTAACGGCGTCACACAGATCACCTCCGCCGCGCTTCACGCCATGGTGAGCATGAAATATTTAGAAGTCTTGATATTGATAAATTATGATTTTCTTTCAAAAGAAAGGTAGGGCACTCCTGTTGTTTTGTTCTTAGAAAATATTAAGTGTATCCTTTTAATTTGTTTCTATTTAAGGGCATTTATACTTCCATTTTATTTGCTCATTATGTTTAAGATCGCGTAAAATCATTTGAGTGCATTTTTTGGTGTGTATGGACTATTTGATTTTTATGGGGGGAGTTTCGAAGTTGGGTCAGTCGATTTTAGTCGAAGGGAGAAACAACCAGAGGGGAGGAAGAAACTCGCTGGAGGGGTGGAAGATGCTCGCTGGAGGGGCTACCCAGTATCTATCTTAGGGTTTAGGGTGGGGGCGATGGTGGATGGCGGTGGTGGGG